AGAACAATCAACCAATGGAACAGCTTGCCTCCAGAAGTTGTGGGAGCTTCATCACTTGAGACTTTCAAGAAAAGATTGGACTGCCATTTGTCCGAAATGGTGTAGGGTCTCCTGCTCGAGCCATGGGGAAGGTTTGGACTAGATGACCTATAAAGTCCCTTCCAACTCTGTTAATCTGTTAAATCTGTTAAAGTTCCCATGTCGTCTTCTGTTCATGGAGCTTACTTAGGAGCTTACTTATTGTGGTTTCAGCAGCTAGATTTTTTTATGTAACCTGAAGAAGATATCATGATGAACTGATGAAGCCTGTGACTGCTAACCATTAAGTATGTTCTTGCTTACTATATCTGCATGCTGATTTCTCTCTTAGCCATTCAGGGTTAATATTTGGTCTCAGCATCTTTTTGTAAAGGACGCTAAAGCAGTGGTTTGACATTTATAATGGAACACATGCTTGCACACACAAGTAGGGATGGGGTAGGTTGGCTCCTCTGATTCCTTCAAGCAGTGTTTCTAAGCCCACCTCTATAATAACTACAGTGATACTTTAACAGAATAACAGAGTTAAAAATAACTTTGGATGTAGTCTAACCCCCTGCACATGCAGGATACCCTATACCATTCCAGACCAGTGGCTGCCCAGTCTCTTCTTAAAAGCCTTCAGTGATGGGGCACCCACAACCTCTGAAGGCAAGCCATTCCACAGGTTAATTGTTCTCACTGTTAGGAAATTTTTCCTTAGTTCTAGATTGATTCTCTCTTTGATTAGTTTCCATCCATTGTTTCTTGTCTTGCCTTCTTGTGCTTTGGAAAATAGGTTGACCCGCTCTTCTTTGTGGCAACCCCTCAAATATTGAAACACTACTATCATGTCACCCCCTAGTCCTTCTTTTCATTAGACTAGATAAACTCAATTCCTGCAACCATTCTTTCATATGTTTTAACCTCCAGCCCCTAATCACTTTCTTAGAGTGTTGTGAGGGAGGATTTCTTTGGGCAGTGATATCATCTTTGTAGAGAAAATGCCCCTTTGTACGATTATTCTAGACTAGAGGAAGGGAATGGGAAAATTTCCCATATTGTAGACCTGTGACTGGGGAATTCTGAGAGTTGGAGTCCACGTATCCTACAGTTGCTAAGATGGACAAACACCACTCTAGACTCTCTTTCTGAAGCAGGAAGGCTGAGGTGTGCATAGGCTTCTTTTCATTATTGAGACTGCTGGTTTCATACTGCAAAGTAAGATTGGGAGTTAATTGAAAATGGAAGGCTGTGGGAGAAAAGGAAATGAAAATCTCATGATTCATGTACACTTTAACCTTACAGGAGTGAAAACATATCTAAATATATTCATCATAAAGATAAAACAAAGACTAAGAATGCCAAGAAGCAGCCCAAATTAACCCATACTTTCAATTTTTTAAAAAAAGATCTTAATTCTCATGTAGCTCCATTTTTTCTTAGATGCCTATTTTCTTCTGGTTCTCCAACTCTTGTCTATCTTGGACTTCATTTCTGACTGGATAGGAGTCAATATGGAAAGCCAGCTAGCTGGTTATGATAGAAGGGAAAAGAACAAATACAAAAATTGAGCAGCCCCCCCTCCTAATTTAAAAGCTTACCTGAAAGAGAGCAATGCCTTAGTGTATGGGTGTCAAACTCATGGTGTCACGTTGCTGTCACGTGATGTATTGCAACATTTTCCCCTTTGCGGAGCTGGAGTGGGCATGGCCTATGCATGATGCATCTGGCCCGTGGGCCGCCAGTTTGACACCCTGCAAAGTTAGTGCTTTTGATTAGTCACTCTAGTGATGAGTTTCCTGAGCTTTGCTTCTGTTCACTATCTAGAGTGGCAGGTTTAGTTTTGATTGATTAACTCTTGAGGTACCTTCTTTCCCTTTAATATATTCTTCTTGTCACTTAAATAAAACACAGAAAGAAAAAGCAGTGATTCTTGTATTGATCTAAGGGCATTCTATTTCTGCTGTCAACTATTAGGGATCTGAAATATACTGATGCATGTGGAAGGCATGGAAGGCTGAAGCAAAGAAGGCATGATACAGTAAATGCAGACATGAAAAATGTCCAGTTGGACCCGAATGCTTGCTTGTTGACCCAAAAAACAGACCCTGCGCCTGTGGGAAAAATGCGATGATGATGATGATGAAATGATGATGATGATGATGATGATGATGAAATTATTACTTATGTCCGTAATAATGAGTGAAACTTGAAATCATTTCCCCTTGAGTCTTATGTTCATTTTTATTTCTTTCACACTTGCTGTTTTCAAATGGAATAAATCTATCTGAAAACCATATTTGTGTAGTTGAACATCCAGGATTTTCACTTTCTTCCTTTCTTCTGGTTTTGGACTAACCCTGATATGCCCTATGTAGCTAATAAACCAAAAAATCAAGAACCACATGGATATCACAAGCACTTTTAAAGCTAGTCTTGGGTACAACTAAAAACTCTTAAGGATAAATTCTCAGCCAGAATTACAATGAATTAATTAAGGCAAGTTTTTTTAAAAATATTTTTTCCCATGGCTCTCATATCTGGACTATGTTGCCTCTTTTCACATAAATTACATTCTTCTGATCCTTTCTAATAGTTTTTCTTATGTACACAAGAGCAAATGGGAAGAACTCAAGACACAAGTGTGATACTGCCTATAAGCTAACAGTGACATCATGGGACACCATCAAGTCCCAGTTATTACAGCATTCATTAATGCATTTGCTAATCATAGTTCCCAAAGTTCCATTAAACTTTTCAGAAAGGACATTTGTCTCATGATTCTAAGTGACAGATACCAGATACCCAACCCCGTGTTCTATACCTTTGTCATTATTCCTGACAGTGAAATTTGTGCCAGCATCTATAAGAATCTCAGTTGGCTAGCCTGTTTCAGAACTCTGAAGAGCTGACTTAATAGGTTTGGCAATAATTTAATTCAAGGCCACTTCCTCTGGCCACAATTCCCTGCTTCCCATAAAAAACTTTTTAAATCAATAAATCCTGAAATCAGCAGTTCGTTTTTATCCGTTTTCAGCAAAAAAAAAAAGTCTATAAAGGGTTTCCAGTGTTTTTTTTTAATATAAAATTAATTGCAGTTTCCTCCTTGATCAAAGCAGTCAATTTAACCATTCCTGCAACTTCAGCCATCTTCACAATCCTTTCTTCCATTACTGGTGTTTCTGCAGATGTCCATCTTTGTGCTCATAATATCCTCTCTGCTGTTGCCATACATAAAACCGATCTTTGCATCACCACAGCTTGTATTTCTACCCAGTATGTTTTTGCTTTTTCACAAGCCTATAAATGTCCCTTGACATTTTGCGCATTTCCAACAGTGATTAGAAGTACCTTTTATACATCAGACATTTTAAAAAAGTTTTCTTTTAAATTATAAGACAATGTGAATTTCAGATCTGTTAACCACATTGATCTAAGACAGATTTGGACTTCAGGAATGTACTTGCTACTTAGATGTTTTGTGTTCATAAATGCACATTTTCTGTTCAAAATAATACACTTCTCTACCTCCCAGAAGATTTGTAGATTGTTCAGATGAATCTATACATATCCTTTGATATTTCATGATGCTAATACTGAAGAGTAGAAAACTGAGACGATTAGGAAAGCAAATGGCTTTTCCCTTTGTATGCAGTATTTCAAGCAAATAAGCTCAAAGTAGCAGTTGAACAGTGGTGGAGGAAGTTGTGGCGTCATACTGAGATTTTCCTTTCATGTTGAAGAGTGTGATAGGATGCAAGTCTTGGTTTAAATTGTCTTGTCTGGTTTTGGCATTCTGAGTGGGACTGGGGCTTCTGGGATTCACACACTTCTAGCTTTCAGCCATCTTGAACCTGAAGAGTGAGCCTTGCTTCTAAATTGTCCCACCCAGAATAATTTTGTGACTAAGAAAGATTTGGAAGAGAGACAAAGTCTGTTCTGAAATGTTGTAAGTCCCCCCACCCCCACCCCTCAGGTTCTCCCTTAAATATAGATACACCAGATGTCTTTTGTAAGTGATGCTCGTGGGAGGAAAAGAAACTAAATCTTTGCAAAAGTAATTTAGCCTTCTGTACTTTTTCTTCTGCATGGAAAATCGATGATCGGATGATAAATACCCTGATTTGAGAATGACATTGTTCTGTCCACAAAGAGCAGGGTACAGCTGTCATTTCTTTTAGAACACATCGTCCCAAGTGTGTCATAATGCGCTGAAAATGTGTGTAGTTCCTTGGCCTTAGAACCTCAGAAGTAAGAAATAATACGTCTTTTGGGTGAATAAATGATCGGTGAAGGTCTGGACAATTATATTCGCAAGTGAAAGCCTTTCATTTTACCTTTTTCTGTTGTAAATGTTGAACTTTAGCTACAGGAAGTCTCTCTGGTGGCTGAAGCATATTTCTGGTGACTGCAAGTATCTTGAGTCTAAGCAAGGAGGAAAATTATACTGTTGCCGTGGAAGACTTTAGTAAACAATAATTTACAGTTCTTTCCACTGGGCAGATTTTGTCAGCAAAAACAATCACTCTAGTACAGAAACAGGTAATAATTTGACCAACAGCAGGCTGTGTCAGTGTTCTTCCAAAACACTTTGTTACTTGGATTAGGGCTATTGTGAACAGCTATCTTGTAATGGAGAAACATGTTAGGCCAGTTTTTCTGCTGTCCGTCTGGCTAACATTCCTTGGCTGTTTGTCATATGTTTATAGACCCAGACACTTCCTCCTTTTTCTGGATAAATTGCCACTCCCAGTTCTAAACTTTGCCATTCAAGGTTTGCAAAGAACTCCAAAATATCTTACAGGTGCAAATCTATCGTGGAAACCCGAACTTGTAATCCAATAAAAGTTTCCTTAATCGCACAATCAGCGCTGGGATGATAATGTGAAACATCTGAATTAATTCATTAATTAAAGTTTGGAGTTTGAAGCTTAACTTTCCTTTGGGGCATAAGGGAAATCAGGTAAGTTGTTCTGGTCTGTATGATTCTATGGTCTAAAGTTGATTTTCTTACCATGCTATCCTTGTTTTGTGATTTCTTTTGCAAACAAAACATTTGGCAAGAGTGTTTTGTACTTTAGCTGATATTCAGAGACTTGCAGTAGAATCTCTGGCTATTAGTGTAGATAAGTGAGAACGTGGTTCCTTTGATTCCCATGGTCAATTGCAGCTCCAGGGTTTTCACTTATTATCTGGTAAAGAAAAAGAAAACAGCATCTGTCTGGCATTTTTGCTTTGAAATATCACATTGGTCTTCTTCGAATTTCATTAGATTTTTCACCATTAGAACATTTTACTTTGGAGAGAAAAATGATGGAGGGGTACCATTAATTCCCTGGATATATTTTTCCAGCTAATGTGTCAATTTAATTTCCATATCTTTTCCTCAGTTTCTCCTCTCATTTGGTCAGACATCAATTGAAATTCTCTCTCAGTTGGTTGGGACCTTTCCTCCTCCTTCTCTCTATACTAAATTTGAGAAGCAGAGATAGAGAACATTTTTTTATATGATAAAGGTGTAGTAGCTTTCCACAATGGGTGCCAAGGAGGCCCAGGTCATACCACATCGCATGGTATATATTTTTGTGCAGTGGAAGTCCATAAGCCTTAAATTTTCTTCCAAGGTTGGATATCCCTGTTCTAAAACAAGGCAGACAAGCATTTTGTTTGTGAAATTTTGTGTTCATCCATCTCAAGAAAAGGTGTAACAGTACTGGAATAGATCCTTGCTGAACTCTGTCTCAAAGTTTTTTAAGGCTCCACTTCTACTGTGTTTTTAATTTTGCCTAACTTCACCTTGAATGAGTAGAACTTCAAGCTTTGGCACATTGGGCAGTGGGCTGGGAATCTAGTAAAGCCTAGAAAAGCAATGCTAGTGATAGGTTTTGACAGAAAGCTTTAAAATCTATGAGAGTGCATATAAATAAATGTGTTATTTTCCCTACCTGCATCTCCCAAAATAACTGTTATAATTGGTGTGCGGTCCCTGCCAAAACAAAACAAATCAAAATCCAGAGAACAGAAAGAATGCCTGGAGTGCAAGTGTTAAGTACATGTTGGCCTACTTTGTTTTATGTCACCGTTGATTAAGCGTGTGTCCTGAAGGGAGACATAAATAATTGTAGGTCAAGGGGAAACAAGATCTGCAAGATGCCCTGTTTCATCTGGGTATGTGGCCTGCGCATGGAAACTGAATAACTGTTAAAAATAGAGGGTTGATTAAATATCAGACTCTCGTTGGCAGCACATTGTAGCTCCCTGGAGTAATGGAGGTTCGGTGGGTTGCCAAGGAAACACACATAACCTTGAGAGGAAAGGTTTAGACTTATATCAGCTGGAATAGCATTTGGATCAATCTGCAGGGCCAACTTGTGTGATTGCAAGTTGAGTGAATGAAGATGAAAAACTGTAATATTTTACTCGGTCTAGAGGGCATTTTGTTGTCTAATAGAAGAACAGTGTTGCAAATAAGCCCAGCTATTGTTGCTTATTTCTTTCAAGTCAGTTTTCTAATTGCAGATAAGCCAACATAAAAAAAAATGACTCAAAAAGATTATACCTGTTCTTATTTCTTGAGGAAAATGATCCAAAGCTACATTTAACGTTCAGTGCATTACTGTGTATGTTTGTCTGTTTCTATTTTGAAAGTTACATTGGGAATCAAAATGTTTGAAAAGTTTTTTTTAAACTACAGTCATAGAAAAAGACCAAAGAAAGACTCCACTTATGTTTCTGCTCAAAACTATTATTATCCAATTAACATATTAATGGATAGTCTCTTGTGCCATGTACTTGTGTGAATGGATGAAATATTAATTTAGGCTCACTTAAAGCAGGCCATCGAGTAAGGAGTTGTTGTTTTGGAAGCATGCGAAAGTTGCGGTCTTTAGCATGCAATAGGTGGAAAAATATGCAGAGTTTTAAGAAGGCAAAATAAAATATGGGTTGCAAGAGATGAAGTAGTTTTCCGTTCAAGATGTAGACCTTTTGTGGACTGAATTAGTAAATGCACTCAATTGAAAATAGGAGGTGTGAGAAGAAAACTAAGACAGGACTGTCCTAGATCAGGGTGTCAAACTCGTGGCGTCATGTCATTACGTCACGTATCACGACTTTTTTCCCCTTCGCTAAACCAGGCATGGGCTTGGCCAGCGCATGACGCATCTGACCCGCAGGCCGCAAGTTTGACACTCATGGCCTAGATAGTTGCAAATTGTAAAATTGACTAGAACTGTAGTATTTTATATTCACCACAAAGAATGAGGAATTCTGCAACTGGTATTTGGAGACAAAATACCTGTTTCACATCCCAGACAAAATACCAGTTTTCCCCATCATAGAGAAAACATTAACACTAATCACCCTCAGAATATTTGACCGTTATGAATTTATTCAGATACTTTTTAAATCCATCAACTAGATCCCACAAATTAATTACTTTTGGACACTTAAAAGCTTGCATGCTACTTTGTAAATTTTCAGTTGATGTACCAGTTCAAGGTAGATTTTGGATTATTGATTTTGGGTTCAAAATCTATTACCACTATTCAGTGAACTAACCATGAAAGGGAACCAAAATTCTGGAGTATGTTTGCTTTGGGTCTTTGAAATTCCAAACACCATGTACGTGATTAATTCTTTTCTAAGCTAGAGAATTGCTTTCTGGAATTTATTTCTTTGTAGCAAAAGCAGAGAGCAGCTATTACTCTAAACTGCAGATTAAGGACCTGTCTGGATTCTATAGATATCTCAGGAGAATGGTAAGGGCTATTTTACTTGAGCAGATGGCAGCTATGCGGAAGCTTCCTAGCAGTGATGTACATAATTTCAATTAAGTCAAAATATTTCATCAGTATGTTGTCATAGGAACAAAGATATTGCACTCACGTCTCTTTGAGGGAAAAATGTAAGAAACGTTCCAGATGGATGTTGGAGTTGGCTGCCTGCCAGGATGTACTTCACAATCTTAAATTTTGAGAAGGAGCAAAATACATGGAGGGGCCAAGAGGCATCTGAGAGTTCATCAGGGGAGTATATCTGGGGGTGGGGGGAATCAATTTTCAGATGAATGGAACGACTGATTTCCCCCCTCTTCCGCTATATCTGCTTTATGCTCTTGCAGCAAACACAACCAAGATCTTGTGATACTTTGAAAGGCTAAACAGATTTATTTATTGTGACATAAGCTTTTGTGGACTTGAGCCTGTTTTGGCAGATGCACAGTGTTAAAGTCAGTTAGCAGAGTGCTATGTGTGTTACATATCTCACTCCTGTTCTCTCTCCCTCTGTGTATATGTGAGAGGTTCTATAAAGAGAGCAAAAGGCCATCGGATATAAAAGGCAGCTGTCACTTCCTAGAGCCCAAATGTGTGCAAAATAAAACAAGCGATTGTTCATATTGGCAGGAAGCAACGATGGAACTCGGGGTCCAATTTAAACCCAAACTGAATATAATGTGAGTAAATGGAAAACGTTGTAGTTAATGAATTGTGATGGGCTAAGTGGTGAGTGCTAAGCATTCATCCCCCATAATAAATCTGAGGCAGCTGAAGCATCTTTATATTCTGTGTTTTTTCCCAATATGATGATTACAGGATTAAACACAGGAAAAAAAGGGAGAAAAAAAAATACAGTAAAAATAAAAACTATCCAGAAACCAGAGATTAGGTTTCTCCCTTTTTGTGTGTGTGTGTGTGTGTGTGTGTGCCTTCAATTGTGTGTGTTTGTGCACCTTCAATTCAGTGTTTTTATTTTTTTTTATTTGTTAAATTTAGTTACCAAGAATTATTCCCAAATTAAATTCTGTATCCAAATACTGATAGGTTTTTAAGGTTTTTAACTGATGAATGGACATATTTTATTGCAACTGTTATTTCTTTCATATTTTGTCGTAATGTGTCGACTCTTGGCAACTGCTTGGACTAATCCCTGCAATTTTCTTGCCAATTCCCCCCCCCCCAAATAGCTTGCCATTGCCTTCTTCTTCCTAGGGCCAAGAAACAATGCCTGGCCCAGAAACACAGCTAGTTAGCTAGGCAGGAGTAGAACTCAACAGTTTTCCAGGTTCTAGGCTGATGCTTTGGCTCTCTATACTAAGCTATAGTAGTTTATTTCTTGAACACCATGTTAGACCAGGGGTGTCAAACTCAAGATTCGCGGGCCAGATCCGGTCTGCGGGGTGCTTAGATCTGAGCCATGGGTCCACCCTAGAAGTAGCGAAGGACAAGCCAGGGTGCCTCTGCCAGGGAAAACAGAGCTTGGGAGCTCCGTTTTTGCTGGCAGAGGGCTGCAGGAGACCATCACAGTCAAAAACGGAGTCCTAAAACAGAGCTCTCCCTGGTCTTGCCTTCCTCTGCGGGAGGCAATGGATTGCCCCAGCCCCACCCAGGCCACCACAGGTGTCCCCAGCACAAGTGATGTTGAGCGGGCCATGCCCACCCAGCACCCCTGGGGTCAAACACAATCCTGATGTGGCCCTCAATGAAATTGAGTTTGACACCCCTTAGTTAGACGAACACAGTATTTGCATTTTTAAAATCTAGGTTTAGAAGTAAGCAGCTCCTTGCCCCAACTCTTCTTATGTCGGAAAGTCTGTTGAATTATAAATTGCTCTTTTATAGTAATAACTTTAACATTCTAACAACTCACACAGCACAATAAGACAGTGGTTGAAACTATTCCAAGATCCTATTCATCTATGAATTTGATTTTGCCTTGGGAAGGTTGGTAAATGTGGTACTATATGAACCAATGTTCCTATGGTAATTGGTGACTTTTATTTTTTTTTTAACAGGATTTCGGCTTCTACTTGTTTAGCATCGAAAGTATAGGAGAAAAAAGATTCTTGTAATCCGGTTCAGAATCCCAGTGGAATCTTCATGACAGGCACAATTTAACATATTGGCATGAGTTTTTGTAGTATCTTCCTCCACCTTACGCATGAAATCAATACAGAAGATTAGAGGGTCTCTGCATATTCATGAACATGGCCGATGTTGTAGGGGAGAGAAACATTTGGATCTGTAAAACAGATATTTAAATGCATCTTCCTGTTTTTCTGGCCTCAGCAAGAGAGAAACGTATTGTCGTATGCTGCTCACCAAGCTGGCTTGCGCTGCTGAAAACACGACTCGCAAGCAAAGCACGAGGTTGTAAACAGGTTTAATTCTCATTTCTCAGTGTAGTCACATACGAACGTTAGAAATAACACAAAGTCAGCGTTGGGGTCGGGCGCCTCCCAGTGCCTTTTTATCCATGTTCAAATTAAGCCGGGAGTGGCCATAGCCAATTGGCATTACTTCCTGGCCCAGCCCTTCTCTTTGCGGTGGCTGGGAATGCCTCCCCTTCCAGTCATTCTACCCTGTCCCGGCCGCGGGGTGACCGACCTCTGATTCCAGGCTTAACACTTCCCCATCACCAATGTGCAAAGCTGCAGCCAGCGTAGACACCCCCCCCATCACCACGGTGCATCCAGCGGGAACGTCGTTGTTCGGTAGGATTCCCTCCTTCATCGCTGGATCTGCGGTGACTCCCCCTCCCCATTTTCTGTCGAGTTGACTTGACACTCGACAGGCGGCCCCCTTTACCAGGAGTCCACCTGCAAGACATGAAAGAGAAAGGTTAGATTACAGGACCGGGTTTCTGTGGGTTGGTTTTATGATACCATCTTAAAAGCCTTGTGGCGTTTAGGTCTGTTGCTGCCACCCAGGACGCTTCCACTAAGGGATACCCATTCCATTTGACCAGGTATTGTTGTCTGCCATGACGGACCCGGGAATTGAGAATCCCGTCTACTTCGTAATGGTCATCCCTTATAGTTCGGGAGGTGGGATATTTACCTGGTTGTCCACCGGCTTTAACAAACTGCAGTGGAAGACGGGGTGGACCTTTCCCAGATACGGTGGCAACTGCAGGACCACGGTAACCAGGTTGACCACTTTATGAACCCAGAATGGACCTAGGTACTGAGGACTTAGTTTCTTGCCTGGGGTTTTTAATCGTATGTATTTGGTGGAGAGGTACAGCTGATCCCCTACTTGAAACAGTTTATGGGTAGCCCGCTTCTTATCGGCATACGCCTTATATTTGTCCATTGCTTTGGCTAGTGCGACTTTTACTTGTGGCCATACTTTACTGATACAGCTACTCCATTCATCTGGGGACACTTGTTCCTTGTTCTGGTCATCTAATTCGGGAATGGCCCTAAATTCTTTGCCGGAGACAATTTTGAAAGGTGTGGTACCTATACTTCGATGGACTGTATTATTATACGCTATTTCAGCAAAAGGCAACAGGTCTGCCCAATCGTTTTGTTGATAGGACACGTAGCAACGTAGGTAGCGTTCCACCATGGCGTTAGACCGTTCCGCAGCCCCATTAGTACTAGGATGATAGGTGGTACTTAGACCTTGGGAGGAGCCGATTGCTGTTAGGAAGTTGCGCCAAAAGCGGGCGGTGAACTGAACGCCCCTATCCAAGATGATTCGTGGGACACCATGTAGCCGGTAGACATGTTGGATGAACATCCTTGAGAGTTTCCTAGCCGATGGCAACCCGCTACACGGAACAAAATGAGCCTGCTTAGAAAAGATGTCCAGATGACGGTATTCCCACTACTATTGGAAAGGTCTACCACAAAGTCCATAGCGATCTCCTCCCAAGGTTCCTTAGGGTTAGCTACTGATTGTAAAAGTCCCAAAAGCCGCCCAGACCGTGGTTTTGTTGTTGCGCACATTGAGCATTCTTTTACATATTGTTTGATATCTTTCCGCAGTTATGGCCACCAGAACTGACGTCTGGTCAAATGTAATGTCTTGAGGAAACCAAAATGACCGGCCAGTTTTGAGTCGTGACATTGCTGTAACACTGCTCACTGTAAAGCCGCCGGTACATAGATGCAAGATCCCATCCATGCAATCCCATTTCGGTGTGTCAATATCGATTTTTGGGTATGAAACCAAGGGTCCCTGCCCGTCTCGTGACGTAGGTCCGTTTGCCATGAGTGTTCTCTAGTATTCAAGCAGTCTTCGCTTAGGCCTTTCGGTATCATCGCCTGGACAACCTCTTCTCTTTTGCTTTGAAATTGAGGCATTCACGACAAAGTGTCCGCCAGAAAGTTCTGTCCTCCAGGCACATATTTCAGGTCGAACTTGAAGCGCTGGAAATATTGGGCCCAATGTATCTGTTTTGGGGACAACTTCCTCGGCTTTTGGAGGGCCTGTAGGTTTTTATGATCGGTCCATACCTCAGATTTGGTACCAATCCCCTCCAAGAGGTGTCGCCAAGTAAGTAAGGCCCACCGGACTGCGAAAGCCTCTTTTTCCCAGGTTTAATTCTCATTTCTCAGTGTAGTCACATATGAACGTTAGGAATAACACAAAGTCGGCGTTGGGGTCGGCACCTCCCAGCGCCTTTTTATCCATGTTCAAATTAAGCTGGGAGTGGCCATAGCCAATCGGCGTTACTTCCTGGCCCAGCCCTTCTCTTTGTGGCGGCTGGGAACACCTCCCCCTCCAGTCATTCTGCCCTGTCCCATCCGCAGGGTGACCGACTGCCTCTGATTCCGGGCTTAACACCTCCCCATCACCAATGTGCAAAGCTGCAGCCAGCGTAGGCACCCCACCACCACCACGGTGCAGCCAGCGGGAACGTCGTTCGGTAGGATTCCCTCCTTCATTACTGGATCTGCGGTGACTCCCCCTCCCCATTTTATGTTGAGTTGACTTGACACTCGACATGTATGCCATAATCTTTTTTTCAATTTTTATTTCATTGGTTTGCAGTTTCTGATCTGTCTTTTTCTGCAAAAAACATATCTACTCCATGTTTTATCTTTGCCTAATAATTACTTCCCCTTGCAGTTGCTTCTAGACTGAAGTCTGCATGCTTTTTACTCTGTCGTCCATGAAAATGGAACAGAAATAATAAGCAAGTTAATTACTGTTTTCCGGTTTATGATCTAGAAACCATAAAAGAAAAGGAGGGAAAGCACATGTAAAACTTGCAGCTGTTTATTCAATAGATTTAAATCCTAAATTTCCACCAAAAATAGCACGTGAGAGACAGTTTACAACAAAATTACGGAAGAGATACCTATAAAATATGTCTCTTTATAAGATTAACAAATTAATAGAATAACAGAGTTGGAAGGGACCTTGGAGTTCTTCTAGTCCAATCCCCTGCTCAGGCAGGAAACCCTATAATATTTCTGACAAATGGTTGTCCAATCTCTTCTTAAAAACTTCCAGTGTTGGAGCACCCAAAACTTCTGGAGGAAGTCATTCTCCACTGATTATTCTGTCAGAAAATTTCTCCTTAGTTCTAGGTTGGTTCTCTTCTTGATTAGTTTCCATCCATTGCTTCTTGCCCTACCTTCAGGTGCTTTGGAAAATAGGCTGATCCCCTCTTGTTTGTGACAGCCCCTTGGATATTGGAAGACTGCTATCATATCACCCCTAGTCCTTCTTTTCACTAGATTAGATGAACCCAATTCCTGCAACTGTTCTTCATATGTTTTAGCCTCCAGCCCCCTAATCATCTTTGTTGCTCTTCTCTGAAACTTTCCAGCATCTTTTTCATATTATGGCAACCGAAACAAGATGAGGTATTCTATGTGTGGTCATACGAAGGCATTATAAGAGCATTAAAGGCATTATCAATGAAAAACCTATCAAAATTTGGGTGCAGAATTTAATTTAAATTGGAAACTGTTTTGGACCATTGTATTGTACATTAGAATTGTGCCACATGCCACACTGAAAATTTGGGTTCTACAGCTCATTTTTTTCCCCAATAATTTTTTATTTTTAAACAAAAATAAAACATAAAAATTCAAAGATACCGGCTGAACACAATTGATAAAGCAAGAACTTTCTATGACCAATTTCTTAGAGAAAAAGAAAAGGAATGCAATTTGAAATCCAACCTGTAGTCCCAATAAAATTTACAGAATTAGCAATACTCAAGTCGACAGAGGGAGCAATTGGGGGAGCTATCCAACAAAAGGAACAACGTGAAGTAAGATCTACTAGAGCAATAAAACCTACATATAAAGTATGAATATGGAAGAAAGGAAATTAATTTCAATAAATATAAATGGACTTAATTCGGCTATTAAAGGAAAAAAAGTATTCCACAAATTAGAGAAACTAAAAGCTGATATAATTTGCTTACAAGGGGTTCTACAGCTCATATTTTGACTTGGTGCACAATTTATAGTAGTGGTGGAATGCATTATCTACTGCTTATAGATTTATAATGACTTGAATAATGCTAATTAAGCTCAACAGACTTGTGGATTTTGACTCGAAAATGAAGGTGAAATAACTTATGTCTTTATATTTCATACTTCTTCACTGCCCATCCCACTCAGAGAGGGGCATATTATACAATATGCTCCTGATGATGTATTGGATTATATTAGTTATTTGATATTTCAGATCTGTTGTTGACACACCCATATTTTGGTTCCTGTACCTGATTTTCTTTGTGTTCCTTGTTTCTTATATTCTTATATAGATAATATTAATGGGGGGGGGGGAATAAGAAACAAGCAACAGTATATACTAGATTAAAACTAGTGCTCTGAGGAGAAATTGTCCTGTTTGTTTGCTACCAGTTCCCATTTGATCTAATTTAAAAAAAAAACTGCTTTCCAACTTTGTTTCAAAAGCAAAGAACATTAGATACATTAATTCCCACAATAGAATAATGGAAGGTAAAGTGATGGAGTTGGCAGAGATGGCAAAAGTGTCTGTTTTCATTAAAGAGAAGAACCTATCTAGTCTTGTTTCTACTTGCTTCTGGGGGCTTTGCTTGAAACTGGAAAAAAAAAATGAAAATCCGAGTTAAGGTTTTAATGACTTTGTAGTTCCAGAAATGGCTTGAAATCTTTAGAAATGTAAAGCAAAAGGTTGAGATTGTAATTTTTTGCGGGGTACTTTACTGCACTGAAAAAAGTCAGAAGTCACTACTTTCTTTTCTTTCTTTTTCTCTGCACTTCTCTTTCTCTTAGCTTTCAAAGTTTTCTTTCTTTTTTATCTTAGAATAAACCTTTATATATTTTTTTTTAAAAAAGCAAAGAACATTTGGCAAAGTTCTAATAGATGGAGTCTGGTGTTCTTGCCCATGTTACTAACAAGGGGCTCCGGGATGTGTGTGAATGCCCCATCTTTCATTGCACAATCCTCTTTCTATTGACCCACGGTGGTGCAGTGGTTAGAATGCAGTACTGCAGGCTACTTCTGCCGACTGCCTGCAATTTGGCAGTTCAAATCTCACCAGGCTCAAGGTTGACTCAGCCTTCCACCCTTCCAAGGTGGGTAAAATGAGGACCCAGATCGTTGTGGGCAATATGCTGACTCTGTAAACCGCTTAGAGGGCTGTAAAGAACTGTGAAGCGCTATATAAGTCTAAGTGCTATCTGCAGCCCCTCTGACTTCTCCTGGTTCCCGTCAATCTGAAGAGGAGATATTGGGAGAGAATTTCTCTTTCTGGCTTTTTTCAGATAGTAAATTGTGGGCAGCCAAGGAGAATGCAGAGTAATGGAAAAAATATACAGGTAGTCCTCAACTTACTACAGTTCATTTACTGATCACTTGAAATTTCAACAGCACTGAAAAAAATCATGAGTGTTTTTTACTCTTACGACTGTTGCAGCATCCCCATGGTCACATGATCAAAATTCAGATGCTTGACAACTTTTTTTTTTAAATTTGATTTATATGCCGCCCTTCTCCGGAGACTCAGGGTGGCTTACAATGCGTTAAGCAATAGCCTTCATACTTTTGTATATTTATACAAAGTCAGCTTATTGCCCCCACAAACTGGGTCCTCATTTCACCTACCTTAGAAAGGATGGAAGGCTGAGTCAACCTTGAGCCTGGTGAGATTCGAACCAGCAGTAAATTGCAGGCAGCTGTGTTAATAACAGGGTGCATAGACCACTGTACTATCACTGACTCATATTTATGATGGTTGCACTGTCCTGGAGTCATGTGATCTATTTTTGTGACCTTCTCACAAGCAAAGTCAATGGGGGAACCACACTCCCTTAATAACCAGGTTACTAATTTAACAACTGCAGTGATTCACTTAACAACAGTGGCAAGAAATTCACTTAAGAATTGTCTTGCTTAGCAACAGAAATTTTGTAGTCAATTGTGGTTGTAAATCGAGGATTACCTATATAGTAGAATGAAAACAGCACCAGCATCTGTTCTCTTCCCACATCCAAGTATAATGTGTTGAAAACATCTCAAGGAAAAAACCAAAAGCTCTTCTCCAACACCTTGAAGCTAACAAAGAAAAACAGACACTCAAGAGAACCTTCCCTAGAAATTATAAGGCTCATTTTGGCACGGTAATAATTAAAACTGCCAGCTGCTCAAGAGTTGTTGAATAAAAACTAGGTTGTTGCTGTCAACCAAAAATCAGCAGAGATGAGGCTTTGAGCTTGTGGGTTGGTTTCTGAACGCTCAGAGAACAAACCTTCACCCTCATCATCCTACATCTGAGCTACAGATATTTGCCACTATTGTTAAGATGAGGCTTTACTTAGAGATCTTCAGTGGCTTTTTTTCAATACAGAAGGGCCGGTCCTAAGGATCTTAAAGAGTCCTGCATGCAGGGGTGCTATTCAGCAGGATCTGACGGGTTCTGGAGAACTGGTAATGGAAATTTTGAATAGTTTGGAGAACTGGCAAATGCCACCTCTGGCTGGGCCCAGAATGGGGATTTTGCAATATCCTTCCCCTAGACTGGGGTGGGAATGGAGATTTTGCAGTATCCTTCCCCTGCCACGCCCTCCAAGTCATGCCCACCAAGCAACACCTCCAGAACCGGTAGTAAAAAAAAATTGAATTCCACCACTGCCTGCATGGTGCCTTTCATATTTGTTCATGAAAGGTAACAGAGCCTGTTATAAATATGTGACATTTCATGCTAGTACCTATACATGAAAATCCAAAAGGTTTGAGAGTTTGTGGAATCCTAAAAATGGCCATTCTTCAGCATGTAGTAGGCCGGGTACAGTCTGAAGTTCAAGATAATGCTCAGTACGTTGAATTAAGGTCTACAAGTGGTTTACAGAAACGGTTCCTTTGAGTAAGAACTATAACAAAGATGCTGAATCCCTAGTTTCATTTTTTATGCAATTCCTATAGCTATCTACAACAATGAATCATGAAAAAGGCCGTGGATCATGATATCATCACGCTGTGGCCATGTCCTCCCAGCCCTTGGAGACTGAAAAATTTGCAGGTGGAAAGTGCAGTGTTCCTGCCCAATCCTGAACTGCTGTTTGCTTCTGTTCAAGGCTGACAAACCTCCCATTCCCTCCCATTCCACTCCAGGTGATTGATGATTAGGGTCACCTTTGGGACAGTGGATGCGTTACACAATTGTTTCATTCCTTGCAGCATACAAGCAGTTGCAATAATTCATTCTCTAGCTTGTTTGAAATAATCAACAGAGACCTGCTGTCCTGCGAAAACACACACATTTTATTTCTGGAGTGTTTGCACATTGTGTGAGCCTCACACATGAATAAAAGCACCACCTGTTTGTGGCTGATAACTATGGCTCATAGTGCACATATCAGTTTGGCTTGATGTAGCAACAAGCAGAAGTGGCTCTAGCAGTTCTGGTGTGACCCACATTTTGTTAAAACAGCTGCCTGCTGTTCAGTTTGCTTTAATAAGTCTCTGGGCTTTCAGAGTTTCCACAAAAACAGTTTCTTATATGTTTCCTGCTACAGAGATAAGCTTGAAAATGGTTGTCAGCATCTGGTGGAAAGAAGTTGAAGAGATGAAGATTCTTGAGTAGATTGGAGAGAAGCTGCTAACTCCCAATAAGTGCAGGCAGAGGGATTTTAGAACTACGCCTGTATCACAGATGCTTCTACTATTGGGTACATATCTTAACAATTTGCAATCTCTCTGCAAGATGCTTACCATAAGAGTGGAGAACTTGTGGTCTTCCCAATGATGCTGATCCATCATCCTAGGGACCTTCACCATTGGTCAAATGTTTGCTGGGAAATGTGATTCAGATGTTGTTTAGAAGACCACAAGTTTCTTAGTACTCTCCAAGATTCCTGTACTTAACCGCTTTTAATAGGGGTGGGGTGTAGGTAGGAGAATAAATAGAATTGTATTTCCTTTTCCAGCTACTAACCACAATATATTTGAATTAATGCTTGTGTAAAGTTTATTCATGGGTAACCGTACTTTGCTAACCTCCCCTTGTGCAATTGGTAACCTGCATAAGTAGATTTCCTATCTCATTGAATTATAGATTGTATTTGTTTCTTGTATAAATAATTTATATTAAACTCATGGTGGTAGAAGACTGGGTTGGAGCATCCAAATTTAATTTGTTCAAGAGGATGTTGGAATTCAGACAGTTGATAAAATCAGGTTTTCACATTTTTGCTTATTCTGCAGCTCTCTGATTAGCAAAATAAATCCAAAACATCTCAAACATCAAAGTTGGAAAAATTGGTGGAATTGTCCACTTGACTCTTCCCCAATTTTAATCTTGGGAAGTAAAATGCAAAAATTGTATGCTAAAACCCATGGTGAACTGAACCATGGTTTACTTCAAGAATTCTCAATCTTTGTGGTGTCACCATCCTTTACAAGTGCAACTACCCCAACCCACTTTCAAGTACCCCTCAAAAGGAGCTCTGGTGGCTCAGCAGACTAAAGCACTGTTATTAATATCCACTTACATTGCTGCCTGCAATTACTGCAAGTTCAAATCTCACCAGGCTCAAGGTTGACTCAATCTTCCATCCTTTCTAAGGTAGGTAAAATGAGGACCCAGATTATGGGGGCAATAAGCTGACTTTGTATAAATATACAAAAGTATGAAGGCTATTGCTTAACACATTGTAAGCCGCCCTGAGTCTCCGGAGAAGGGCGGCATATAAATCAAATTAAAAATAAATAAATAACCTGGCCGGTTTGAGGCACTTTAGCTTACTGTGGTTTATTCCAGAGTTAACTCTTCCTGGTCTTCTTCCTAGGAAGATATCACACTGAATCTAGTTGCTATGTTCATAGGCTTGTTATACACATCCTGGGTAGTTGGAGAATATCCTTGAGAGTTCCTTGGATTGCAAAGAGATCAGATCAGTCAATCCTAAAGGAAATCAACCCTGATTATTCTTTGGTAGGGCAGATATTGAAACTCAAATACTTTGGCCACTAAATGAGAAGAGATAACTCATTGGAAATACCCTGATTTTGGGAAAGATTGAAGGCAAAAGGAGAAGGGGATGGCAGAGAATGAGATGGTTAGACAGTGTCATTGACACAATGAACATGAATTTGGGCAAACTCTGGGAGACAAAGGAGGATGGGGCGGGGGGCTGGTATGCTATGGTCCATGCAATCTTGAAGAGTCAAACACAACTTAGCAACTGAGCACAACAACAAAACATCCTGGGTAGACTGGTTTATTTTATTGAGGAATGGTTCTTCTGCAAGAAGACACAATGTTTGGGCTGCTCAAGAGATGAAAATATAGTCCTTATAATGCAAAGACTTGTACTGCCTGTAACCATAGAATGCTCCCCTCCCCCAGTGAAGGAGCCTTCATTCAGTAAACTAACCACACTGTTTAGATTCATTTATTTATTTATTTTATTTATTTTATTTATTAGATTTTTATACCGCCCCCTCTCCCGAAGGACTCGGGGCGGTGAACAGAAATTTAGTACCCAGTGTGACAACTAACTAGCCATGTTTTAGTCTAATTGCACTGATTGAACCCAAATGT